AGAAAAGACTATAGAAAAAACAATGAAACAATAAGAGGAAGTCATCCTAAGAGGTAAGATCAGTCAACTTAGAGATGGCATACATAAGGAAAACTAATGAACCGCTACTGAATTGATTGCTCCCTATTTAAGACCGAAATTATAAATAGAGACAAAAGCAAAGTAAAACTGGTTAAAAAGAGGAATACATGGAAAGTTCCAAGAGAGAATGCGACCACCTTTTACAGTAAAGAAGCTTGGAGATGTTTTTGTTTTAGCTGGAGAAGATGCAACTAGTTTAACTCGTAGAGCAAGTTCTAGTCAGTTTATTTCTTCTACCAAGGGGGTCATGTACAAAGTATTATTGCATTACTCAGAAATATAATAATATTGTATTTCTGATACAATACGCTACAAGAGAATTAAAACGGTGTATTTATTCTGTGTCCTTTAAGAGTTGCCTGAGGTTCTATGAAATGCAGTTGCTTAGAATGTGAGTACGTAAACTCATTGCACAGTGTGAGAGAGATTGATGTGTGTACTTTGTGAGAAGAAAGAAAAAGGACGAACCCTTAACAAAGAGATGATGGGACCAGCTGCGGTCGTTGAGAAAGGCAATGCTGCATTCGGTAGCAAATAGGAAAAACAAATTGCTGGCCGGCGATGTTTTTTTTCACTCTGAGATACACTCTGAGATTTCTTACCACACATTTTTGAGATGTCACCTAAATTTCACTTGAATTTACGTGAGATTTGCTGAGGAATGGCAATACTTCCTGAAAAAGAGTTTGGAGATGGACCAAGAAGTTTCCTGGCAGCTGGAAACGAGTTATTCTCAGCCAAAAAGGCACCGACCAAGATGTAGGACAGTTAAAAATAATATAATCGAGGAACGCGCCATAACTAAGCACAACCAACTCTTCAAAGTGGAAGTCGTTAGTGAGCGATGATGACTCAAAGAATGTTGTTTTGACCTTCAGTGAAGTGTTCCAAGATTAAGAGAGATATCCAAGCAAGTCAAATGAAACCTGATTTCATTTGACTTGCTGAAGAGAGATAAAGCAATGAGATGTAGGAAGCTACTTAAAAGGAAACAGTAAGTCTTACAACACGCAGAGACGTATCTGCAGTCAGAAAGAGTAAAACTTCTAAGAAGATAACAGAAAGGCCATATGTGGAGTTGCCATCTTTGTCTCTGTAGTTATCAAGTAAACCCTTCTGGAAACAAGACATGAAAAAAGCAACTAGACTTTTTCCTGTTGTCATTGGAGTTAGCATAATGCTCTCCATGCTAACTGCCCAAATCATTAACTTAAGACAATATAAACATTTTAAAATATTAACTCCACAAAAATTTTGGTTCTGAAATGAATTGAAATGAAATCATAATTGTTTTTTGTTTGTTTGTTTTTTTCCAAAAGACGCATTGGTAGGTCAAAGCTTTACCAAAACCAGAGATTATTAATTGCCCTTGGAAAATTTAGTTATTTTTATAGATGAGCATCATTAGGGACAAATGGACGTAAATGCAAAATGACATGCATTATGATTCCCAAAAAGCATCGCTCAGCAGGTAAAATTGCTCAGCATCTAAGTCTGAGAGGAACAGGCCGAGGCGCACTCTGAGTCTGAGATTAATGCTCCTGTCTGGATCATCCATTTATGAGGAAAGGTAAAGTGTGGGTAGCATCACACTGTACATGTCTGCCTTTAAATAGACTCTGTTTTTATCCTGGTGACATTTGTAGAGTTGGGTCTTTTTATGCCGTTGTAATTTAATAGTCTGAAATGCTGGACGAGAAAGTAAATGGAATCTGATGTGACAGTTTAATATGTCCACGGTGATGCTGAAACGTTGACAGAGAGCATTTTTTTGAATTCAGATGCGAGGGATTAGACGAGATGGAGCTGAAATGGAACGGTGGGCAGTGAAGCTGTTATCCAACTTTTTTTTTTTTCTCACTCCCTGTCAGACTGACAACGTTTATCAGAATGAGATGTAAATATAAAAAGGAGTTTTGAGAGAGTGGGGGGCACTTTTTTCTTATTATAAAGTCTGACACTTTTAAAGGTACAAACTCTTTCTGATGGCTACACTTTAAAAAAAATGTTTGTACTGAAATGCTTTGAAATACAGGCTGTTTCTTGAAAATTTGTACTCAATCAGGACAGTACATTAACTATCAGGAGGGACTGACATCAGTCAGACCACAGCATCTTCGTTCATATGCACAAATTAAAGAGATTTCATACTTTAAACAAGTTGGAGTCCATTGGATACACACATAAAACTGACGGCTGCGTTTGCCTGTTAAGTGACATGTTTCAAATGCTGTTCAGACATTTCAAGCGGCTTGTTAATAGAGTCAAGAGTATTAGCTTGTCCTCTCTACAAAGGCAGGCTCTGGTGATGACTCACCCACTGAAGTGTAAGGAGTCAGTTTTAGAAAACTCCACTCAG